ACAGGATTACAGCGGCTCGGGCAACTTTTGGGCATCTGCGTAAGGTGCTGACTGGCCGGAGCAACCTTTCATGCCAGGCCAGGGTCAAACTGTTAGGCGTGTGTTGGAGCAACGCTTTACTATACTCTCTTGATTCGGTAGGAATTACATTGAGTGGTTTGCAGAAAGTCCGAGTCCTGGTGCAACAGCAGCTGCGTGCCATCTCCAGGATGCCAGCTCATTTGACAAAGGTCACCAATCAGGAGTTATTGAGCAAGCTTGGGGTGACAGAGCCGGGAGCACATATTTTGAGTGGCGTGCAGCGACTTCTTCAGGGATGGCGCACCAATCAAAGCAGTCCGGATTGTATTCCTGTCAAGGCCTCGCAAAGCATTTTTCAATGGCGACAGCAACTGGTGAACGGCCTTAGCAGCGTGCTTCAGAGTGAAACTCAGGGGGGCAGAACGTTCTTGACCTGCGTGCATTGTGGTCTCGAGTGTGCGAACAAATCTACTTTAGGATGGCGCATTGCAAAAGTACATGCCGCTGCAAGCAAACCTATGTTTAACAGATTGAAGCATTCCATGGAGGGCATGCCGAGGTGCTCTGGTTGTACACAGCTTTTGAGTTCTTCGAGCAGACTCCAGAAGCATATTGAAAAAGGAGCATGCCCACGCCCAATCGAAGCACAACTTGAAGCGCCGGAGCAGCCTAAGTCGAAGTCTCCAACACAACAGACGACGACTGCGGAGCAGGGCGCCGATCAGCAGCAAAAGGATGGTCCGCTTTTGCGTGACAAACAAGTTCGACAAATTGTGCAACAACAAGGGTGGCGAGCTCTGGTTGAAGACATTACATTTCGTCCCAAATTGGCTCAGTGGTGCTGTCTGTGTGGAACATTGTGTGTCTCTAATAGAGCAGTCAAAATGCATCTGGCCAGGACTAGTTCTGTGTCCACAGCACCTAAGGCTCATGTTAGCACATGTCCTGTTCTTTTCCAGTCTATTCTGCTTGAATTGCTCATCAATGGTGGACTCGGCCAAGCAAGCGGAGCTGGTCCGACACCTGTTGCCAGTGGGGATGAGACAGACAAGCCAGGCCATGGATGTCTCAACCGACAACAACCGGGAAAGGCCCAACAAAAGGCAGAAGCCGTGGATGACTCAGGACAGGCAAGGACGGAGGGGGTATCGTCGCCAGCAAGACGGGAAAGCGCCGGGTCAAGGCAAACAACAGGAGTCGGACGAGATGCAGCAGCGCCTGGAGGCCACCGCAAAGCTTTCTTTAAGGATAGCAGAGGCACAGCAGCTGATCCTTCTGGATTGTGGGTTTACATGGTTTGTGGACACGGAGCCGGGAAGCATTCTCCCTGTGATGTTCAACATAAGCAAGGAATGGCGCAGGATACAGAGCACGACCCCCGAACAGGCCAGCAAACCTCTGTACATCACGATGATGGAGTGCATCCTGACAGAGCTCAAGGCCAGGATTTTGAAAACAATCCAGGATCCATCTCTGAAGGCGGCGGTGGTGTCAGCAGGTCTGTGCACGGAAAACGACCAATGGGTGTTCAAATGATGGAACCCGGCCCAACTCTGGTTTTGATGGATGCCCAACCCCTGCCAACTCAAACGATTGCAAACATGTTGGACGCAATGCTCCAGGACATTCAGGAGCCGGGGGCCTTGCGCAAATTTCACGCATCCAGGCAACTGCAGGAGGACATGACCGGGCACAAAGCGGAGGTCTGCTTCACCATACAAGTGGCTCTCAGGGGTCAGGCAGCAGAAAGGCTGCCAGCGTGGTGCAGATGTGTGATTGCGTGGCCCTCCGGTTACCCAAGAGCAGGCTGCGACAGGAAAGGCGCCAAACTACAGGGGTGGCAAAAGTGGTGGAGGATCTTCTACGCAGACAGCCACTAAGTTGCAACTCCGAAGCGCTGGCAACGTATGCTATATCAACACCGCTGCACATATGATAGTGTGGATGCTGGAACAGTGTAATGCTCAGGTGACATGTTTGGTAGCCGGGGCGAGCGCTTTCAGGTCTGTCATGACACCAGGCAAGCCATGCAATGTTATGCAACTTTTCACTTGGCGCCATATTTTCCAGCGCTGGCATCATGGGGGCAGACAACATGATTTGGCTGAGTTTCTTGCGTTTGCTGCAACATTGTCAGGCTATGGTTTTCCGGGGACATTGGGAGGCGCGCGTACTGATTGGTGACCAATTGCAAGTTGATGATCGCGGCTCATGTGAACAAATAATTTCCTTGGATGTGCCAGACGTGGGGCCTTGGACACTTCAGGCTCTCATTGACGTTTGGGGCGAAAAAGCACGGATTCATGCACCTGTGTCTGCTCCTCACTGGCCGGCATTGCGTTTGAATCGCCTCTGAAACAATAATGCTGGTCTGGTCAAGGTGAGAACGCCAAAGAGCTGGGGTGCGGATGTCCAAATGCCATGTTTCAGTGAGGGTGTTCAAACCGTTCGCGTTAGGTGCTGTTCGAGCTTTTGCAGTGCATTTGGGCTCGCGCGTAGATTCGGGCCACTATAGGACTATAGGGCCCTTTTTTGCTCTCGTGTAGGTGAGCTGCGGTATTGTGATGATAACAGGACGGGTGAATCTTTACTGAATTTTGATGTGGTTGCTAGTGATGTTTATGTTGTGTTGTTATCTTGTGCCGACGGAGTGCTCCCGTCATCCTTTTGACATGTTACTGTGTCAGGCGCTGACATGTGCCCGACTTGCTTCCTAGAGAAGCCGATCACCGAAGTGGTGATTGCACTAGTGACCGCACAAGACGTTACCGGCTTGGCGTTCGAGAAAGAAAGAAAGGCCCTTTAACGGATTGCGGAAGTTCGCATCCAACGGGGGGGTGCGGGTGCGGGATGTACCGCATCACCTGTTGTTGCCCCTTTGATCTGTTAGTCCGCGTGTTATTACAAACGCTCTGAAGCGCATTGATTCCAACGTGGCAAAACAAGTGGTGTCCGATGCTGTGCTCTGAGTGGGTGAATGATAAAATATGTTCAAAGCATTTTGAAATATTTCGAGTTGAATACCTCAGATTTTATATATTGCCCGTCCTCCCCTGAAGAAAAAAAGATAAGGAACAAATTACCCACCCTACCCACCCTTTGTTTTTTTCCACCCATCCTGGGTTGCATGCCTGGGTTACATGCCTGGTGAGATGGTCACTCTTGATAAACGTTTATGACGCAAACTTGAGTGCCCACTGTTGAGAGCTTCGGTCTAGCACGGACTTCCGTCCAAAAAATTCCTTTTGTGCTCCTCGCGTTAGTCCACAGTGACAGTGTTATGCGATTCCCAGGATTGCATTTGCGCAGTGGCCCCGCCGGGTCTGCTGTGGCCTCTGTAGCCCAGAGCTTTGCTTAGGTGTTGGGGCCCATCCGGGTCGTGTCTGCTGTGGGTTCTGTAGCCCGCAGCATTGCGTAGGTCTCAGTTCAGCCTAGCCGTAGCGTGTCCAGCTGGGCTGCCTGTTGCGTTTGCTGTGAATGCGGCGTCGCGTAGCATAGCTTAGGGTGTGCAGTCAATGGACCAGTCAGGATCCATACTATCCAGGGGTGGCATCGAAAATGTCGCCCCGGAAACAGGGACAGCAGTTGCCTGCATGGGTTATGCAGAATCCAGTCATTGAAAAAAATGTGTGCGCATACTTCGACTGAACGATGAATTATTTTTCTGATTATTGGGTATCTCGATTGGAGTTCCTCATTGATAATATGAACCCACCACCACAACTTGAATTTTTTTTATGACAGAGCCGAGAGCATATGGCCATCAGAGCATCCGTGCCCAAACCACAATAACGTTCGTGTTCCAAGAGCACGCGGTCATCACAGCATCCATGCCCAAACCATAATAACGTTCGTGTACCAAAAGCAGACGGTCATTAGAGCATCCATGCCCCAATCATATTAACGTTCGTGTTCCAAGAGCGTACGGTCATCAGAGCATCCATGCCCAAACCAGAATAAACGTTATTGTTCCAAGAGCATGCAGTCATCAGAGGATCCATGGCCAAACCATAGTAACGTTCGTGTTCCAAAAGCATACAGTCATCAGAGCATCCATGCCGAAATCATATTAACGTTTGTGTTCCAAGAACATACGGTCATTCGATCACACAGCGTCTTTCAAAGATTTGAGGAAGCTAAAAGCAGCTTGGGCAAAAAACAACCTGCTTCAGCAAGGTCGTCATAAAACGTATAGTTTCACCTACATTGAAAAAGCCTGAATTTCGCCGAAGTCATAGAAATAAACACATCCCATCACCTCAAAACCTCCAGGCGCCTCGCGTTCGCGCAACCTAGTTAGGCGATTCCCTTGGTATTGGAAAGGCAAGAGTTACTTCTCAATCTTTCCACGCGGTCATCTCAATACCAGATATTCCGGACGTTTGCTCGAGTATTCAAATCCTCATCACAATAAAGGAAGATGTATTCAAAGCATACGAGAGTAGGAAGGTCTAAGAAAATTGGACGCAACAGATATCGTAAGTATTGTGAAAAGGTTTTGGAAAAAATCAGCGCCCAATTCTTTTGCTTTTGGTCGGGGCGCAAATAAGTTTCCCACTGAGACCAAACTTCTGATTGTGGTTTTCTTCTCGATGCATGAAATAGTTTGTGGCGATAGCGGAGCTGGCAATACCTAGGTCTCACAATCGTAAGGTCGTGAGTTCGATCCTCACTTGCCACATCTTACATTCGCCTCCACCTAAACTAAGTCACCCAGCTCCCTGCTACAATGCTATGTCTGAAGCTCCTCGGTTCCCGTTCGGAGTTATTGTGCACATGTTTTGGGTGGTCGAATTGCGAGAAGACAACGCTTTTTCATTTATCCGCTTTGATTGTGGCCCAAGTCTCGAACATGTCTTTGGACAGAGCAGGTCCGGTTGGGCCTGATATTCAGGCTGATGCGGTCATGTTCCCGGCTTATGGACACACATTGTTCAGACAATGCGGTTCAACTTGCTAGGTGCCAACACTGTTGAGGAATGCTGGGGCCAAATCCTCAACTTGGATAGATGTTGATGGCAGGTGAGCACATCTGTCATTGGCATGTCATTGATTTTTAGGCAAGATGACTCTTTCGATTTGCTTGGCCTTGCAGCTGTTGAAGCTGATCACCAAGTGAAGGCGGGTGTTGACATGTTTTTTTGAGGGTACTGAGTTGCAACAGGCAAGACAGATGGTTGCTGCATGCTCGAATTTGGGCTTGGCTAGTTAACACGTCTCTGTAGATGCGTTGAAGCTAGCCATCATGGCAAGCTTCTGATAGAGATCTGCCGCTTGTGCTTGCCACCATGGCGACCCACGCTCTTCACCAGCACTTGGTACACCATCTCTATTTGTTCAACTTTGTTTGCTTGCGTTGGTATGAAATGTGTGAGTTCGGCATATTCACAATATTTTCTAGATTTCTCAAGGTACATAGCTCCCTAACTTGTGGGAAATGGATTTTATCAAATACATGTGTCCGGCAGCATTCATTTTTCGCATTTGGATGCAACGTGATAGAAAGACGTTGCGTACCTAGAGGTCGCTGAGCCAGTAACCGGGGAATTGTATAGAAGGAGGGCACAACCACTCGTTGTTTTTCGGTTTTACGAAAAGAAATGAAAAGCGATGGTGGCTGGTTTCCATTATCCATCTTGAACTGCCAGACTGCACTTGGAAATGATGATCGGACACGAATGCTGGCTTGCTCGTTCTGAGGTTGGAAGACATCATGTTGGCGCACTTGATATCCAATGGCAGCAAAGTCGCAAGTCCCTGTGGGACAAGACGAGGTGCGGACTGGCCTCCTACAGCGCATCCCAACTCCGAGAGTGCAAGTTTTATCACATGTTGTAGCATTTTCCGGCGAATCTGCATCATTGCGTTGGAACGGACAGTTCGGAAATGCCTGTCCAGGGAGGTGAGAAGCGGATCGACTTCTATGCAGTCCTGAAGGCTTTGCAGAACTGACTCGAAATTTGGTGCAAATGAAGTTTTCTTTACTGACAGGTCAGCCGCAACGCATCTTCCGCTGACATTCGTTGTGCCTACCGTCGAGCTGTTCTTCATGCACATCCTGACAGAGGCACTTTCTTGGACCAGCTAAACATCATGTTTTGGGGCCACAAGTTTGGTGTCAGCCTCGCGGACACAGGCCTTGCTAAGTCTAGTTTAGCGTGGAAACAGCATAAGCAGTGGCAAATTTCATTGAGACCAACAAGGGCTGTTTTCTTAACCCTCAGTTGTCGCGTTGGAGGGGAATCAACTGCCCTCGACTACTCACAGCGGTCAACTTGCAGCCGAGACCACTGATAGTGTACTTCTGTACGCTATATGGCACCGCATGGTTCATGGCGTGCGTTTTGCTTGGAGTCTTGGAAATTGCATGCGGGTTCAAAAGTCGGTACGCTTGATAACGGTTGCCTCTTTCATGTTTGCCGGGACCGCTGGTGTTCTCATGCTTTGCTTTGGCGTTTGGGTAGGGGGTTGGGGGCGGATGATGATAGACAATTGAGAAGGCCAATCGCAAACCCAACATCTCGGGGCTTCTCCAGAACCAGACCCCATAGCACGACGTCTTCCAAAGCTGGAAAACCAGACCACAATCCCAAAATCATGGAACTCTTCAGCAGTAGATCCAGAAGTTCAGAAGCTCTTCTGTCAGGGGGGGGGGTGGGTCGGAGCTGGGGATGGAGTGCGGGGTGGTGATGATAAACATTTGGAAAGCAACCCCCCTGGCCAACGACTCGGAACTCTGCAGAAGCAGATCCAATAGCATGACCTTTCCGTTCTGGAGCATCCAGGCCCGACATTGTGGAACTCTTCAGCAATGGATCCCATGACACCACATCTGATTACTTCTCAGAAAGAACTAGCCACCACGAACTCAAAGCTTTCAATTGCAGAGATGAACATTCCATAACACTTAGTCGTGCAACTCTCAGAGGTTGCGATTGTAGCATGTTGGTCCCGGAGTTGAAATATGGCGCGCTTGTGTCTTGCATCAAGTGCCCAACAGTTATGGCAGGCTGGGTGAACGTGCGTGATGCAAGAACTTGTGTCAAGTAGAAGTAGTGAGCAAGTCAGACGTGCAGTATTCTTGGCCGGTGAATTAGGTAGACGGTCCGTGTCTCTGCAGATTTACGCCGCCACGAAACACTGAACAGGGTGCCGTTCGCGACTTCCAACCCCCAAGTTGGAAGTCACGGGCAGTATACGTACTTTACATGCCAATGATACTGCATATCATGCTTGCTCAAGAGCTCTACTTCTTTCAACTTCTTGCGTAGCATATCGTAGCATGACAATTCACTGCGCTTGCCATGATTTTTGTGATTATCTTTGCGCGACACAAGCGTCTTATATTTCAACCCATATACCACAATCCCAATCTCTACCACTGCAAAACCCGTCGGCAAACGTCCTGGACGTGCCATTAATCTTGGATGCAGCTTTATAGCAAGCCAGCAGCCAGCAACAGCCAGCCACCATGGTTGTTGGAAAAAACATCTTCTTGCGCAAGTCCCCCAAAAGGCTGTCACCAGAGTTCCCAATGTTGTGACTATGTAGGCAGTGCAGATTGTGCCAGGCGGAAGCTCCGAAGCCTTCTGCTTAGTCACGCAGGCGTTTGACGCAGCCTTATTTACAGCCTTAGTTGTTGTGAAGAGGTTGTTGCTGTGCCTCTTTGCTTGCAGACTTAAGGACGCTCTGTCACATTCAGCTCAGCGGCGCCTCAACCACACAGACCTCAAGCCACAGGACAACTTGGAAGGCAGCACAGGCGTCGGCATTTATTTTTCTAGATTTAGAGACTTGCACGCTGGTTCTGGAGGCTCTAGCAAGCGAAAACGCGCTGATAGCAATGCAGCACATGCTTGCTCTCAGAGAGGCCGGCTACAGTTGACCAGTTTGTTGACCAATGTGAAGACAGTTTTTGTTCCTGCTTGCACAGGGAAGGTCAAGTTCGTGCGCGAGCGACTTTCACATCTTCAAGAAGTTCTGCAAGCAATGACGAAGCCTATGCGAAGTCATGCGTCCTCGGGCTGAATGCGGACCTTTCTCCCGTTTTACTCTGATTCCGTTGCAGTGTTTTAGCTGTCTGTTTTGTTTAAGCCTTACTCCGCGTGCAGCTTTTGTTTACACGTTTGCACTAGAAAAGTGGAAGCGGCGGCAAGAGAGAAGGGCTCGGAGTGGAGTGGCAGAGCACAAACAAGAAGAAAGGTCATCGTAACGTTCTTGCAGAGAGCTGTGAGGCAGCCAGGACATTTCCTGTGGGTAGGGTCACAGTCAAGACAGTCCGGAAGGTTGTGGATTTTGGCTAGCTGCACGTGCCTGGTCAGCTCTAGCCGACCTCCGGAAGCAGGAGGAATTTTGCAAAAGCTCTAGCATTTGCAACGCAGCATGTTGATTTTGATTACAGGTCGTCTAGCGCAAGCTGACCGGAGCCTTTTTTTGAGGTTTCTGAGCAGAAAATTTCGTACTTGTTCAACATCTGGACCAAACATTTTCAGAGCATCGCTCGGCAGAGATGTGCAGGGTCGTTCAACACCAATTTTACCGCCCTCATGGGTGGATCGGGATAATGGGGCCTGCACAATGAACCCGGTTTCGGGGCGAGGAGCTCAACAAGATAAACAGGTTTTTGAGAACTAAGCTGAGTGGAAAGTGTTGATTCAAATATGTCCCTGCGAATCGTTTGTTTCTTCTTATGAGTAAGTTTAGCCAGAAGGCGATACCTGATGACGTCGGCTCAGAACCTAGAAGGCATGTGGCTTGATCTGTGTAAAGGTGAAGTTTTCCGAGACGATAAGAGATGTTATGGAGTAGCTTCTAGCGTTCACTGCCAGCTAAAATGATTTAAGTTTGGTTGGATTTACAGCTCAGACCAGGGGGCAAGGTGTTTTAGCCCTCCAATCTGAGATATGATGCTGTCTTTTTTTTTAATGGGCATGTTAATGGTCTCCGGATCGTGTCATGCAAAGCTGATATTTGGTGCATCTCAGAAAATCCACAAACAACCTGTTTCAAGGGTACTGGTATCTTGTTATGGCTTCTTTGCCAGAGTTGTTGGGATTGCTTGAATTCAGATTTTGTTTTTTCATATGAAGTGTGCGGACCTAAGGATCTTGACCATGCAGGAAGACGTCCGCACTGCTTTGCTGAACTTCATGAAGGCAGACATGTAGCAAGTAGAGGTAGGAGATGGTAGAAGGATTTTCCAAAACCTTGGCAGGAGGGACCAACGAAGCCAGCGGTTCGTGACGAGCCAGTCTATGCTGTTAGCTCGAGTTTCATGCCAAGAATTCTATGCATGCTCCAATGCAGAACAGCGTTCGCTGAAAAGCACGCGTCAATCTGCCAGCTCAGGCTCGCTGCGATTGCGCAGTTTTCGAGACTCTGTTGGACATGAAAAGTTCAGTGTGCAACTGGACGTGGACTGCCTGCGTGCATACACACGCCAGGCTGGGCAATTGCATGACGTGTGCTCACGGCAGCGCAAGGGAGCAAGAGAATATGAACGCACCTGCGGTCAGGTGGCGCTGGAGGTCGTGGCTTGGAAGCAGATCTATTTGCTGGTATCGAATGGACATTTTCTCGCGAGTCTAGAGGGTTTCAACTTTCAACTGCTTGTTAGCTAAAGATGAGATCTCAGTGTCTAGCAGAATGGAGGCAGTGGAGCACCAGCTGCGTTTGTCTGACTTGCGGGACAAGCTCCTTAAGGCCAGAAAGCAGACTGCAAGTGAAGCTTTCCTGCATCATGTGCAGGCTGATGCATCCTTCTGGAGACCTCCCTTCAGGATCTGTCAAGTCTTTGAAGATGCCACTTACCTTTTTTTTGCAGCATGCTACTCCCGTTTTTTAGTTTCTCGGCTTTCCCACGAAAAGTTGCAGAAGTTAGTTGCCTTTTCAGATGTATGCTGCTTAAAGCTAAGGTTCTCACCTCCAATGTCGCAACGGACGACCAGCTTGGCATGAGAGTATTCCTCCAAATGCGAGCGTCAGTCCTTTGTCATAAGGTGGTGGCATCTTTGCAGTGACCCTTTGTGGAATCTGGCGTATCAGACGTGTCAAACATCACCTTGAGGAGTGGATTCCAAACAGTTATTGCTTGACATCACCTGCAACTCGTCTTACGTCTTAGTTTGGAGCCAGGCTTGCATTTGGTTTCTGTTGCTTTTTGTTGCTTTTCTTTCTTTTTCCTTCTGGTTTTTATCGTTGAAGGTCATGTGCTTTTCTGAAGCCGTGGCACTTCGACACCGCCTGCTGACTGCAAGAGCTTTATCTTGGGAAGCTTTGCGTGAGGAGTGGGTTGCCTGGCAGCTCAGCCTGTGAGACTTGGTTCTGTAGCTGTCGCATGTTGTCGCACAATTTTGCAGTCCCACAGGAATTTCTTCCTACAAAGGCTCATCTCAAGCATGCAGAGGGAGAGCCTGCTTGTCACAGCTCCCAGAACACAATTCTGTCAACGGTTTATTGCAGCTCAAGATATTGTCCAGGGGTTTCTCGTTGCCCATCTGAGGTTTCTCTATTGCAGCTGGGGAAGCTCGCAGCCAAGTGCTCAGTGGAAATCACCGCGGCTCTGCACCATCAGCTGCTCCGAGGTACAGTATGACTGTGGAAGAGGCGTCTGATCATGTGGACAAGGCCATTGTTCCGTGCTGTATACGTTTGGCGCCCGCAATGTGGCCTGATCACATCCGGTGAGGTTCGTGAGGAGGTTCTGCAGAAGCGCTTGATCCGGGCTATTGCAGCTGTCCAAAAATCCTTGACCAACCGGACTGAGGACGCAAAGGTCATGAAAGTATGAAGCAGAGCGTGCTTCGTAGAAGCGGATGTGACTCTATCCATCAAATTTCTTGCATGGCTGGTTCTGAAGTACACTCAGTAAATGTAATAATGTGCACACATAGAAGGTCCGTACTGACGTGGCAGTGCATCACACACGTATTCATGGCTTCGAAGCACCCGAGCCATGATTTCAGGAGCTCAAAGCCAGGATGGCCTGTGATAGCAAGGATGCCAACGTCAAGGGCACAGGAAGCTCGGCGCAAAGAAAAGCAGCCTGTGCGATGTCATGTGTGGTTGGTGGCCTCGGCCTGTTCAGGCTTGGCATTGACTGCAGCTGCGCTGCAGGCCCATACTGCTGCTTGTTTCTGGACAGCATTGTGAAGAGCGCGTTCACTTGTCTTGATCAGGGTTTGTCCCATTTTTCTGAGGTGCTGCACGGTCTCACTCTGAAGGGCCTGCCCAGGATCTTGCACGTCTACGAGACTTGGAGACCAGTAGGTTAGCGTGAACTGTTCTAATGAGTCTTCCATGACGGACTGACTTTGTCACCGTCTTCAAGATTCGAGGGCCCGACCTTCATAGAAAGCCGCGTTTTGACTGGAAAAGCGCGTCCTGTGACCTGCAAGAGCTAAAAGCATGACAAACTACAGCTCGCTGAGTCTGGATGTCGGTCTTGGAGGGCACTTGATTGAATTCAGGCTGGCGGTTACAGATCGGCCACGCCTTCAAAGCAGCCTGATGTGGCTGATGCCAGCTCAGCCTTTTTGGTCTGACTAGCTGTCTAGTCAGACCTGGGTTGTCTTTTGCTGAAATCAGGAAGATGAACTTGCGGCACCGCCACCTCCTGTTAGTCTGTGTGGACCCTGGTTTGGGAGCCACTGTGCGGGACATGTACATGGTGCTCTGCAAATGACTCAATGACTACCACTTCAGGCATCAGAAAGCAGAGATTGAGGAAACTTCCCAAACAGAGGACATGCATTTGATCCTGTGTTCTTCCAACTTTCGGAGGCAGCAGTCGTGGAGTGGCAATGCAGGACATGCACCTCAAGCGATACACCGTGCGCTGCGAAGGGCGTGGTGGTCTTAAGTCAGAACCTGAACAACACTGGTTGCAGTCAGATGAACCGACAGGGTGGAGGGTGCGATCTGCTCCGTCCTTGAGCTCGAAGGTCCCCTGAGGATGTCGGATACCATACGGAATGCTTCAGACGACCACTGCTTAGATGCAACAGGTGATAGGTACAATCGCGCATGGCACTGTTGTCCTGGGTGAGGACAGTTGGGCTTCATGTTGATCCTCATTTCACGTTTTGACTTAGGGCTCCCGAGTCGACTTCACGGTCTAGGTAGCGACCATTTGTTGTCAAGCAGCCAGCCATTGAAGTCTGCTGCAACTAGTATGAACGCAAGCTTTCTTGAGATGCGCTGTGTGTCATCTGGTCTCAAGGTCCTTGTGACAGACAGAGAGCTTTTGGTCAAAGATGCAGATTCAATATTTGCACCTTTATGGAAGATTCTCATCGAGTATCTCTGCACCTTGTCAGTCGCAACTGCATGGAGCAATGCGGTGATAGCATTTTATTCACAAATCCAGAATCAAACCCTGCAGGCAAGTAGCCAATGAGGCAAGTGCTAGTCGCGTTGTGCACGCGTGCGTGCATCTAAGTGGGATCTGAGCGGACTTGCGTCTCGAATGTCTTGCGTTGCATGTCTATGTAGGATCGGTGCGGACTTGAGTCTTGCATGTGTTCGGGACTTTGAAACTTGTTCCTTCTCTGCAGCAACGGCGCTCACAGTTGCTTGTCAGATTAGTCGAGTGCGGACTAAGAATGTTGTTGGCTAGTCGCATGCAGACTAAGAAAGTTGTATGCTGGTGCGACTTGTGTGCATTTTCGATTTTACCTGTTTGAAGCTTATCGCAGGATTGTGCTGGCGAAGTTCTCGCGCAGGGTATGTCTGGCACTTCGCTTTGCTCTCAGATGTTAGCAGAGCTACTCAAAGCAAAGTTGCTGGTCTGCATTTGAGGCCAATTCCATCTTTCCAGCAGGATGCGAGTTTGCCATCTGATGTTCTCCAACAGGTTCAGAGAAATATGCAGCTACACATAGTGCCAAATGTGCCAAGATACCCCTGCAACATTTTCTCTGCAGGCTCTTGAAAGCATTACAGCTTTGTGGGTGAAAGTCACGCGATTTGAGGCCTTCATTTGCAGATGCCCTGGCAGTCAAGTGTGGTAGTGCTTTGCAGGCACAGGAACCCATGGGAGTGTCTGAGATCAAGCGAGACTCAGCAACAGGTCGGTGCAATTTTTCAGCTTGCGGGCAGCATGTTGTGGGGGTACAGGGTACTGGGCCACCGTGCAAGGTGGTGGTATTTATTGCTTGCGCCGCAATGCGATGGGCTATGGCTTGTACCAGGTCCCGTTTGACAGCTCTTCTACGCTTGGAGCTGCATGATTCGCAGTCAAACACGGAACCTCGAGATGGTCCGCTCATTCTCCTGCCAGAGGCAAATGCCATCGTGTGATGTGTATGTTATCTCTGTGTGTGTGTGTGTGTGGATGACCATGATTTGAACTGCCAGCATCTGGGCCTTGAGCTGCGCTTGGACGCGCAGCGAGCAGCATCGGACCGGATGGAGGATACAAGTAGGGCCCAGTTGTGCACTGAAAACTTATCTGGTCCTTTTCACTTGAAGTAACTTGTGGTGCAGGATGTTTCGCTGACATGGAAATTGCTCGGAGCAGCTGAAAGCGTGGGCCGCTTCTTTTCTTTGTCGGCAGAAGACGAGGACGGCATGATTTTTGAGACAAGTTGGCTGTACTGGAGCTAGGCCAATACATGTCTAGAGATGTGCGGAGGCCGGGATAAATGAAAACATACAGTCGCCGTCTTTGCGAAGACCGGAAGATTTGTGGGAGCCTGTAATCACAGTCGCATGCTGCTGATTTGGCTTGGCAACCCAGCCTTAGGTTTGAGGTGAAGCAGCGCGAGCAGCTAAAAAAGGCACTTGCTAATGAGCCATGGCTTTCAGAAAATTTCAGAATCATGACAGGCAGTCTCCGCGCTGCGAGTCCCCATGGCAGATCTCGCTGCAAAGGCCGCTCGGCATTACCTGGGGCTGCTCTCCTCCAAGTGTGTCATATCCAAAGGCCAGCGCTGACGGCTCCGCTGTGGATCTCCTTGCTGGCTTGCCCAAGGATCTGTCCAGGCTGCAAAAGCGACATACCTCACAGTAGCCAATTTTTGACGGCAGAATGATGTCATAGGCGGTTTTCTCGGCTACGATCTGCGTTGATAGCCGCGACGTCTGAAACAAATTCTTTAGTTGCCGCCGCCCTAGTGACAGCTCAGATTGTCGTCTTGCTGCATGCGCCACGAGAAAGGTGTGCCCTCGATGGGCAGGTCAGGAGGAGATGACTGGCCATGTCCCAGAGGAGGATTTAGTGAACTCAGCTGCAGAGCACAAGGCGAGTTTGGTGCAGTTCATCACCTCAAGGTCCCAAGCCTACTTTTGCGTTTTATCAAGTGCAGGTGGAAGGAAGTGCCCAGGACCTGACGGACTTTACGGCCATTTGTGAAAAGCTGGAACGTCGCATGCCTGAGAAGCACTTTCTGGATCATCCGGAACACGCTTTGACCATCTTTGACCTAAGGCACCGGATCCTGGACGTGTGTGGATGCCAAGCTCCGGCAGGAGGCAGTCAAGCTTTTTTACTAATGTGCTGTTGTAGAGTCCCTTTGACCAGGTAATCGCCTTTAGCACGAAGCATGCCCAAGAGATCCAGAAGTATGTCAGGTTGCGTTGCAAGGCTGGGTGGCGCTGGGCTGGACATGTTAGGCTTATCCACAAGCTGCTACGCTAGCAGACGAGACACGTCTTGGAGTTGCAGATTGCACAGTTCCAGCAAGAACAACCACGCCGTGACCTGATGCGCTTTCATTAATTACGTCCTTATCGGGCACTGCTGCAAACTAGGTTCGTATGAGTCGGATGACATTTGAGGAACTGTGATTGTTAGAGCCACGGGCCTTATCAGAACTTACGAACTTGGTTTGCAAAAGATGCTACACCGAACAAGGAACGCATAATGACGTAATGCCCAATGCCATTAAACAACAAAAAGAAAACTAAACCTCGGACAAACCCAAAGCTTAGACCCGAACCGAGCCAATACCCTTGCTGTCTGAGCTTGGAGAACCCAAAACCCACAAAAAAGCACCCAACCTGGATAAAATTGAAGAAGTCCCAGCCCTGGAGAAACTTCCGAATCCCTAAATCATAAAGGAGCCCCCACACAAGTCCGGACTTCGAACCCTAGATGACCGATACTCTAAACCCAAACCCCCAACTTAAAAGCTTCCAGCTCGAGACGCCAACCCTAAAGGCAGTCAGCGGGAAATTCGTAGCATAAGCCATAAATCAGATAGGAAGCGCCGTCGAGGTTGCAATTGCATCGTGGTGAAATTAACACACTTGTTGTATATTGGAAAGGAAGGTGTGCCTTTGCTAGAGCCAATGCTGGCAGCGAGGCTTGGGTTGTACCTGTGACGAATCGGCCGGGGCTATTCTCGAGGAAATGGAGAGTGCTGTGCAAAGAGAGAGTGCTCTGCGACGTTGGCCGTGGGATATTGTGCAAGCCTTCGTTGCATGATGTTGCTGGTGAATGAGGGGGGATCATTGCAGAAATTTGCAGAGGCTGCAGCACTTGCGTACACCCCCAACCCACATATAGCTTGGGCATAGCTTTGACCAATGTTCCATGGCCTGGTCAAGGCAGATGCAGCAAGCGTAGCATAGACGTTGTGAGCTCAGGTGCATTGATACGGTCTTCATATGGTTGCGGCGCCCTTGCAGCCGAATGCTGGATATCATTCAGATCTCTGAGGCCTGGACCCCAGGAGCTCCTGGGGCTCAGGCCAAAAGAGTCTTCAGGAATCTGGGCGAAGGTCCCTCACTAATTCCAACATCTTTTCAACTGATTTGATCCAATTGTTTTGGAGGGGCTTCCTGCTGTCCTGGAAACGGCGCACCAGTACCAAACCCTCACTCCAAACTGCCAGCAGGCCCAAACCCAAAACAGGGGCAAAACCAGGCCTGGCACCCCACACCCTAAACGAACCCAAAGAAGCCTATGATGCCCTACACCCTTGAAAGCTCAATCACGAAGAGCCAAGCTTCAAAAAGTCTTGACCTAGAACCGGCCCAAATCCTAGACCGAAAAAACACCGAAAACCCTAGGTTGGACAAACAACTTGAACTTGAACCCTGAACGAGCTCATGCTGTTCAGTCCTCAAGCCGAATCTCAGAGCCTCAAGGTGCCCCAACACCTGAAGGCCCAGAGTGCTTTAGTGCTTTAAAGCCTTGAAGCCTGGCAGCCCGAAGAAAGCTAAACAGATTAGTGTTGTTTTGGCTGTTGGGGTCCTTTAAGAAAACTCACGCTTTTGGTTCTTTTGAGAGCAAACCTGAGAAAAGGCGCACGTGATGAGATGGTTGTTACGAAAGCTTCTCTGAGCTTTCGTCCAGGTCCAGCTTTGCTGATCTGTACTAAGGGGTGTGGGGGAGGGGAAACCACCAAAAGTGGTCAAATTTGGCCGTGTTTCGCGGGCCAGACCCAGCGGCAGGAGGGTTTTGGGAAGGCGTCCTTTCGGGTACCCCCTGAAAAGCCGACGAAACCTCGGGGAGGGTGGGCTCCTAGTCTCCGGCTCCCGCATCTAAACGACCCAGGCCTCCGGCCTCGGTGGATCTGAGAATGAGCTTAATACACCCACATAGCAGGATTAGGCTACGGCTGCAATGTTGCTCTTGCTGGACTGGAATGAGACATTGTGCTTCCACAGCTGTGGAAGCTGAGAGACTGAACCCCCTTGCTGCAAAATGTAACAGGATTTGGCGGTGACGTCGGGGAAGTCAGGCCCTGGCCTTTCAAAAGTTCCGAAGATTTCGTCTCGTCACAGCCAACTGCTCCAAGATCCGAGCGCAGTACCTGCTGCTCCAGGCAATCTGTTGTTCAGACCGAGCCTGGTGATCCTATTGGCTTCTTCTTCAGGGCTGTTGGATGACCTCATCGAAACGAAGCCAAAGATTGTGGCCAATTCTGGCACAGCTGCATTGTGATTCCCTTGACATGTACTGCAGGGGCAGCAGCATTTCACGCTTTGCAGGCCCTGCTGCGTCAGCACTGCCCTTGCTACCTCCACCGCCCTCATCCGTTTGCAGCGTGGGGGCTTTGGCTGGGCTAAGTCATCATGTGTTGGTATTGTTGAAATGCGCAAGGTCAAGCAACAAGCGTGACATTTCTTGTACATAGATTTGAGGTGCGCTTTGGTGAAGAGCCGCGTGCTGGCAATTACGCCAGCTTTCGTTAAACAGTCACTTTGCTAATGTCCTGATTTGCTCCTGAGAAATGCACTTACTTATCAGTGCCAGATGTTTTTCTCTGCTGTTCTAAAGCACAGGCAGGATGTTTCTTGCAAGGTGTTTGGCTGGGAGCAATCTGATGTTTGAACCAACCAACCTGGTTTGGTACAGGCATCGCTAGTTTCACTTAGGCCAGATGGTGGGCAAACAAAGCATGTATTCCGCGTGTCATGCTTTGCCTTTGAGAGCTTTCCATGCGGAACCAAGTTCCCGCACCTTTGGCTTTGACATAGTTGAAGTGTCCATTAAAGTGTTGGTTTCATGGCTGGTTCTTTGATTCAAGTTTGCATAACGTAGAAGCTTTCCCCCATCAAGACTGCATTTTTTTCTGAATGTCCCATGCCGTGCCTCCGCGCTTGTTTTCTGGGACAGGCCGAACTAAGTGCAAGCCGCCTTGATGCTTTGGATGCACATGCAATGATGCATGCCAGGTGCTACATGGCATCCACTGCTGGTGATCACTTTGATATAGATGACGCCAGCCACCAGACGGAGGTGCTCCTGCGGTCCTGTGGCTGTCATTCGATTTGCCTAGATTTCCAGGCAGCGTCTCTGCTCGTCTCGCGGACATCGGAAGATATAGTTGCAGACGAAAGCTCTCCTGAAGCCGAGCCAAGCAATGCTGTTTCCAGGCCAAGCAGGCGGACTCGTGACACACACAGACACACACACACACAAATTACGAACGTCCAGCTGCAGACATAGACAAGGGATGTCAGATGTTGTAAGTCATCCTGCTGCTGGAGGATGTTGTTTGTATGTTCAGCTTCAGCAGTCTTTTCTGTCTTGTGTGGAGTTTGTCTAGGCATAGATCTTGAATGTGCTTCGGCGATTCTAGTCTTGGATCAGCGGCCTCCTCCACCTAGACTCGGTTGACAACTGCCAGAGCAGGCAAAGCAACTTGTCATGGCTCTTCCATCATGGATTCCGGCATCATGTCCCCTCAGCAGCGCAGATTGGCGACTTCTGACTTGCCTGTCGCAGCAAGGGTTTGGGTGTGTGCCTTGAGGGCACCTGAGCAAAGAGGACAGTTCCATTTGAGGATGGCGACCCCCCACACCCCTGACTTTGTAACAGTTCGGAGATCTGGCCTGGGGCCAGTTGCGCTTGGGAGTGCAAGCTGAACGAAGTTTGCGTCGTGAGTTTGAGCTCAACCTTGAAACTGTAACTCTTTCCCACCTTGCTCAGTCCAACGGAACTGGTGGACGTTTGCCCTCGCTTCTACGAGGCCGAAAGCTGAAGAAGTCGAAGGGAGTTCAAAGAATCGAGAAGTGCCGCAGGAGCAACTGGAACTGGAAGTTCTTCTTTCGGACCCCTTTGTTGAAAAGTTCTCTGACCTGGCCTCATTGCAGGAGGTGTTGGCCTCACTGCAGGGTGCGAAGCTCTATGATGAGGCACTGCACTCCCACTCTACTCTGAAAGCTCTGCAAGTCAGATTCGTGAACCATGAGTCAGATGCAGGAGGTGTTGGGAGAGCTTGGAGACGAAGGAAACCAAGAGCTTTCGGAAGAGCCAACGGAGGCGGTTGAAGCCGAAAAAGAGGCTCCGATCTCTGGCATAACGCCGGCTGAATCGGTTGAAGCCTTAAGGGACATAGGTGGAAAGCCTCAAACGAATCCGACAAGGCGCATGCTTTCCTTGGCTATTGTTACTGCTTACACTTGCCAATCATGGCTTTTCAGGTCGCCACAAGCCGCAAAGATACCTTTTCCAGGCGGCTTCCTTGACAACCAGGCCCAATCTCAATCTTTTCACTTCATATTCTTTGTGGTTCAGAGTGTCTTCAAGCGTGAATGCCTTGCAGACCACCTTCCTCAAGCCGAAGGGAAATGTGCTGAAGCGATTTGCGCAGAAGCTGCGTGGCTGTATCAGGCTGGGATGTGGCTGCAGTCTTGATGCTTTCCTGTCTTGTGCTGGGTGTGCTAAGGGCATTCGAGACAATAGCTCGTGCCTCCGTGCATGATAGGTGCTCAGCAGCACATCAGCGCAGGAACCCATCACGCCCTTTCGCATGCTCAAACTACAGTACTCATGAAGCTTTAACCTTCTAATCGCAAACCCTGCATGCAATCGGGCGACACCCCTACAGCAGGTCAGAGCTTCAGGTATGGTCAGTTTTACTGTGCCAAGCCTCATCTTTCCTCAACCGTGCTAGTTAGGCGTGCTTTGTTGGCTGTTGGATCTCGCTGGCGGGTTGAGGGGAGTGTTTGCGTAGTTTGGTGTATTTAACCAATTTCACCTGAATTGCTTGAATGATCCACATTAGTTTGAGCCTTTCTGTGTGTTGTCCGACAGGTATGAGCCCTTTAATGAGTACGAGAACAAAGTCCGAGTTGGGGAATACAATTCTGGAAGGCCTGCAACATTTGGTTACTCACAGGCATCTTCAAGGCTGTGGCTCTTTCTCTGTAGAAGGTTTGCACGGCTCTTTGATCGGCTGGGTGGCAACAACAAGGCGAAAGTTTGAAGCGTGATGACGAGTGACGTGGGCCTTCGCTTGGTGTTTTCATGTGCTCAGCATCCCTCCTGTTCGGAATTGCCGCGGACGCCGCTGGGAGGTGCACTGACCATCCTGCCGGGATGCCTGTTGAATCCTGTGAAATTTGCGTTTTTCCTTTGCGTGGACATTTGTTTTCTGCATCCTTTGTTTCCTTCTGAGGTTCGTAGCCCTCATCTTGACCCTTGTGATCAGAGGCATCATCACAGCTGCCAGTAATGAGACGGAGGCCTGCAGGTCCCTTTCATGTATTTGTGTGTTAGTGCTGGTGGTGATGTGGTGATGAAGGCGCGTCAACGGCTTGCCTGTTCATGGGCTGGTATTGGTTAGTGACCCAATGATGGCTTGGTGTGGTGGTGGTGGTGGTGGTGGTGGTGGTGGTGGTGGTGGTGGTGGTGGTGGTGGTGGTGCTGGTGGTGGTGGTGGTGGTGGTGAGGATGGTGCTGGTGGTGGTGGTGGTGGTGAGGATGCTGGTGGTCGAGTTGTTGATGTTGGCGATATTGTCAATGTCGCGTTGTCATGGCAGCTGCTGGCGCTGCTGCTACCTCTATAATCATGCAAGCCTGCCTAGTGCCTGCAATGTTGCATGATATTGGTAAATTTGCAGACCATAAACTTGGACTACGTGACCATCAATCTGGATTGTGTCAACGAGGATTCCTGCAAGCCTCTTCATGTTTTGTTCGTACAGCTGAGAGATATTGTTCAGGACAAGAACTCCATGGATCTGGCCTCTTGTCAATACGAAGTCGAGGCTTTCGGGACCATGTCTCTGGACTGGATGCTCATGATAGACTTTTCAACTTGGGAACCTTCTAAAAGTGCAGGCGGAAGAAACTGGCCTTGGTCAACCGTGGTACTGGATATCCCAGATGATTGGTGAGGACTGTCTTGCACAGAGGTCTTCAATACCTTACGTCTATTTGGGGCGTCACCTGTTGTCAGGCCACCGTTCCTTCCCTGGACGTTCCCGTACTGGAGGCTTTGGGGCTGTGCCATTTCGCCGCAGTTGCATAGCTTTGGACAGCAGGTGCGCCTCACAAGCATTGTTCAGTTCTTCGAGAAGACCCGAGAAACTAGCTTGGACAAGGAGCTGCCGTGCCAGGTTTACCAATGTGGAAGACAGAGACCTCAGCAAAGCGAGGTGATTGTCACAGATCTGCTGGGCCTTTCGGAGGCGTTGGTCTCCAGCAACGAGGCATTGATCGAAGAGAGCCAGAGCGAGCTGCCTCTGCGCGTTTCCTTGCAAGGCTACGCCACCGACGCTGTCGGCGGTGGATAGTGTGCAGGCTCCTTTGGGCAGGCGCAGAAGCACATGTCCACATCACGTCGTGAAGGATGTTTCGCCCCCTGACAGTTTTCACGAGAGCAGTGCCGTCTTGACATCCGACATCCTCTCGAAGACGATCAAGACCTTCAGTGACATGCAGGGAACGACAGCAAGTCATCTGTTTGATGACACCATGATGTACTGGTGAGCTCCTAAGTCTGTGCACTTCGGCCATGATCGTACCGCTGCTAGCGCGACCTAGACAGGTATTTGAAGCGCAATGTCTTTCAGAGCTTGGCAGATTTCTTTGAACACCAGGCTCATGGTCCGGGGGGGGGGTGTAACAAGTTGTCATCTCGTTTCCTGTTTGGTTCCGGTGGCTCTCTATGCTACAGTATCCATTCCTGGAAGGCCTGTGCAGTGCTTTTGCAAGTGCATCTTTTACCCTGCAAGACCGCCCGAGTTTGCAACCAGCCCAGCAGACAGGTTGCCTTTTGACTGTGTGAAGATCTGGACCGAAACACCCTGGATGCCAGAGTGGACAATAGTATCTGCCACCAAAAGGGGCGGGTTTGTTCAAACCTCTGTGCGGTTTCGTGCCGCCTTGGCCTTGAGCATGCCCGCGCGTCCCCTGTGCTGCAAAAGCCTGGTGCCCGCAGATGCAGGCAAGCCCGGACCAAGGAGACATCAGGTGGGCTCAATGAGAGGACCGCCACAACCGCCAAAACTCACTTCAGCTTAATCCGCATCCCAAACTTGGCTGGCCTGTCCGAATAATCCAAGCTACAAGGATTCAAAGTCTACTACTGTACGGGCTGTCGCATCCTTTGACGCCAGGTCGCTCTGTACATGCGATTCGACAGGCAGTGGCCCGCTTTTAGCTGTCGTGTTTTCAAGCAATTTTTTCATGTCACGCAAGCTAGCCTCCGGGCTGGCTGAGTTGCTCCTTGTGTGCCGGGGCTTGCTTTCCCCAAAGCCTTGCTGTGCTTAAGCTGTGAGTGACGAAGCTCTCAGCACTTCAAGAGCTTTCATCTGAGAGTAGTTTGGATGAGTTGCTTATCAAGCGATAGCTTGCAAAACCCGGTGTGTGTGGCACATTTTGGCCGTACTGGGATCTAGAGAGTGCTGGGGAGAGATTTGGCCTTCTCCTGAAAAGGAGTTGTTCCGGAGTTTGGAAGGAGGGTTTTCAGGCCTAGGTCCTTTTGCAAAAGAACGCATAAAGGCATAAACACATGTTATAAGCTTGAGCCAAAGCCATTTGTTTCTCATCGCTGAGAAGCACCCTCAGCCGCTTGTTTTGCAGATCTCGTGCTGGATTTAGCGTAAGTCAAACAGCTTGGGGAATGTGGGGTTGCAGATGGGCCGAACATCAGGAATGGTCAAAGCATCCAACAAACACCAAGACTACCAAAATTGGAAACACTCCTCCCTCCGCAGCTCCGAAACAAAAGCACTCCAAACAAGGACACCTTTTCGAGACGTATCCATGCAGCCATAGAGCTATGCCCTCAACCCCTAATCCTGCAACGTTGGCTGTGCCTTTCATGCCCTATGGATCTGCCTGAAGATAGGCTTTCTCACGGCTCCTCCACGCTTCCAATGCAGGGTGGGAAAAGATCCCGCAAGTGCTTCTCACTACACGCACACGCGTGTCTACAAGCCCCCTGCTATAGCACCTGACCCAGCTTTCGTTCCAACTTCTTGCCCCCAAGTTTTCTGAAAACGTCCACAACATTCAAGAAGAAAGAACAGAAGAACACAACCCCTTGGCACACAGGGATCAGTTGCGGCAGCTGAAGAGCTGCCAGCTACAGGCGCGGCGCGCGACTTGCATCACTTCTATCAGGCTGATATCATGCTCGGGGGAGCATGTGCGCACAGGTTGGGCTGGTCAATGAGGCTGTGTTCAATTTGGTCAAGGAGCGATTCGCCAAATGTTGAGCGCCTCCACCTGCGGTCAGTTGCTGAAGGATGATGTCAAGGAAGATCGGCGGCTTTTTGCATCCTTTCCCTTTCTGAAGTTGGGGGCTCAGCGCATGTCCCAGTTGTGAGTCTCTGCCAAGGCTGCCGGTCTCTTGCCTTTTGCGTGAGGTCCAATCCTTTCTGTTGGCAGCCGGAAAATTGGAATGCCATCACGCATCGGTGGGATACGGCTTGGGTTGCAGCTGTTGGCATGCTTCTTTGACTGTTGCAGGTTCTCCCCCCTCACAGATGCAAGTGTGACGGCAAACCTTGTCACGTTGCAGGCGGGTGAGCGTTTGATGTTCCAAAATGAGGGCATCTCTTGGCAAGTTTAGCGCTGTGACTTGTGTTGGGCAGCTAGGGTACGGTCAGCATACAAGAAGGGTTTGCCCGAATGCTCCGCAGAAGGGTTCCCGTCTTAAGGTTGGGGGCCAGGGGTCCAGTCCAGGAGGTGACCAAAAGTCGTCGCGTTTGTGTCCGCAAGCCTTCGCAAAGCGTTCGCGAGTGCCGCGAATACTGGGCAGTCGCAAAGCGGGGGTCCTGGTCGCGAAACGCAGAGTTACGGGGATCGGGGGGGGTCCTGGTCGCAAAACGCAGAGCTGTCGTCACTTTTGGAGCCTCCTCGCGCGAGAAGAGGAGAGGAGAGGACAGGAGAGGCGACGAGAGGAGACGAGAAGAGAGGAGACGACTGGAGAGAGGAGAGGAGAGAGATGAGATAGGAGAGAGGGGAGAGGGGAGAGGAGAGAGGAGAGGATGGAGAATGGGTCGTGGATCCTATCAGTTTTCAGCTGTTGACTTGCATGCCGGACCTCAAAAACATGAAGGCAACGATGAGGTTGGAAGAGCTGCTTCAGTTCATCTTCAACACAGAGTGGACTGTACCCCAGGCCCAAGCTGATGCAAACGTTCCAGCTGTGTTAAGCCCGGCCATTGCGTTCGACCGTCAGGGACCATCGTTGACAGACATCAACCTCAAGCTGAGGCAGATGCAGTCAAGTCATTTGGCGAAGCTCTTGCAGATCTGCCCCAGTGTGTCTGTGTGAACTGCGAGGACGAAGCTTGACAGTGCATGCGATGCGTACGAGGCACATACTTGCAGATTCCCTTGTGGGTTCTTGCCCGTGAAGGCGACAAACTCTTCAGCGCAAGTAACCCTATTGCCGAGTTGTCAAATGCTACCATGTTACTTGGTTCAGAGAAGCAGTTTAACTGGGGCCAGCCCAAGGAATTGAAATGCTGAGCATATCAAGGAGGCGATGAAATAGAAGTGCGTGCGTGTGGGTTGCCTGGTGCAATCCAACCTGTGCAATGAACAGCATGTATGGGAGAAGCTGCAATATCTTTCTTGGCTTCAGCATTTTGGGCGTATGTGTCTGTCTCTGCACGCATCTTGAAATCAGAGTTCAAGTATGAAGTTGAGTCTTGTTTGCTTTGGGACCTCGTAGTTGACGGTGTATGAAGCATCTAGTTGCTGATGTTTAGTTGAATCGTCTTAGCCAAGCATGGACTTAGTTTCTTGTGAGCGTGCCTGAAGCCATGGAAGAGTTGCTTGCCCAATTGCGCAGTGCAAACCCAGGTGTTCCTGACGAGGTAATATGGCAATTTCTGCAGCGACGACTGCATGGCGAAAATCGCGACAAGTCTTGAGATGTCGCTTTTGTGTGGCTTTCACTGCAGCATTCAGCACAGGGAAGGCACTGTTGTGCGCTTCAGGTGAGTATCCAGCATCTTTTCGATCCCTGCTGGACGGAAAGAATCGGCCTGATGAGCCAGCTTCAATGCAGCCTGCGCCAGAATCTTTCCAGCTCAGATCGCGCTGCCACTGTGGGAAGTGCAAGGTGGTTTGGGATCTGGATGCACATCACTTGAGAGTGACTCGTTGCTACTGCCCAGCCTGCCGCCATCATCAAGCTAGCTCCTTTGCATCATACCTTGCAACTGGCTCTCCTGAAAACGGCATGCCGCAATTCACAGGCAAGAGCAGGCCAAAGATGATGTATCCATAAGCCAAGAAGTCGCAAATGAGTTGTTTTAGGTGACGTCACCAAGCTGCAACACGTCTGCGACGTTCTGGGCTCTGTGGCCAGGCTGGCGGCTTGTCCCCTCAAAGCCATTTCTTTCCCGATGCGTGTGCTGCATCCTCTCCAGAGGCTTATGTGTTCTCGCTGCTTCACGAAACTGGCAGTGGTTCCAGACAGCGGAGCCAGAGCAGGCCTTTGGTGCGTTTTCGGGATCTCTCGGTTTTCTTTATCCAAGGTCGCCCTGTGAAGGTGAAGTCCTCCTCTGCATGGGGTCCGTGGAAGACGATTCGATCCCTGATGAAGTGGCACTGAAATGGCAAACTTGTCACGAAGACTGGGACCATGCTTCAGAGCCATCATGGTGGCGAGCGAAACCGGCAACATCGATGCTGCTCCGCCGGAGCCAATTACTAAAGGGAGCCTGCTCCTGCGGAAGATGTTCCTTTGAAGCTAAGCTATTGCCTGGCGAAGCACAGCACTGCTATTGCAGGCTCTGTCGGCAAATGTCTGGATCTGTGGCGCAGACCTGGGTTCCTGCAGAGAAAGTTCATTTCCGATGGTTGCGATCTGAAACTCTACGACTGGTGAGAACAACTGGCCATGGCCAGCGTCATCTTTGCACTTCCTGTGGGACTGTTATGACCATAGTTTATGATTCACAGCCTGATTGCATCTGGCCGGCTGCTGGCACGTTCGATGACACGCAGCTGGCGGAAGCTTCTTCCAAAGACTTGATGTGGTACCGGGTGATCCATATTTGCTGTGCTTACATGCAACCTTGGTATCTGCTTCCTGATGATAGGCTTCCTAGACTGAAGTATGCCGGCTGAGCAAAAAAGTAAAGCACACATTCTGCGTTCCTCGTGCGCTGCGCCCGCTGAGCAATAGTGCTGAGGTAATTCTTTCGATCCTTAGGAGATATCTTTGAGTGTGGCAGGATCTTCAGGCATCATGTTCAGCTTGCAGTCACTCACCCTGCCAGAACGGCGGGTCATCGCCTCAGAGATATCTTGCAAAACGAATGAGCCATCACCAAAGCACGAGGAACTGCACGGACCTGCCCGGATTCAAGTACCAGTGCACCTGCGCCGAGGGATTCTTTGGGGAGGCAGGCAGCGCTCACAGATCCCCATAATGAAGTCGCCATCTCCTCATAGGACTGCTCGGAGACGGATTTTTTTGGTCAGCGCCGGCTCGATTCCATTGACGATTTCACCTGCAACTCTACACAGGCTTGCGCGGGTCATTTTTGCGCTTTGTCGACGTGTGTGGAACCTTGTGAGGCTGACTCTGCATACCCAGCTGGCAAATTCTGGTGCCAGTGCCGAAATGGTACTGAAGTCACTATCAGGCAGGGCTTCCGCCAAGGAAATTTTCGTGTGCATACCAAAGTTGCCCAGGTCGAGCTTGATCTCCGTGATTCAGGGATGGGGAATTTTTTTCAATTACGTCGCAGACCTAGGATCTACAGTCAAGAACCAGGCTTTCGGACATTTGTGATGGTAGCGCAAAAAGGTGACCAACTTCAACAACAGCTACTCGGAGATCACTTGTGCAGATGCCGCCATGATGCCTGGCTGTCGTGTTTGAGCAAGGCACAGTATTCTTTTTGGTTACTAGGGCTGTGCATGTTTGTTGAAACGTGGCAGTGTGAAGACGCCTTCGAGCCAAAATGCTTTCGCAACAAGCCTGAGGCTAGACGCAGACAAACGCCAAAAGGCAGCGCAATCGCTTGAGAGCTGCTTACCGCCAGCCTTGTGAAGGACCGCATCCGCCCCGAATGCGTCCCATCCTGAGATGCTGGCATCATGTACCGGTTTCAGCAATTTCAGCAATCTATGAGTTGGCGGTATGTTTCAGTTTTTTTTCACTGTGGTGTATTTTTAACTGCACTTTCACGTGCCTTTCCACTCGATTCGAGCCTCTGATTAACGGGGCCTCAGGTCTGCTTAGGCTCAGTACAGGGTAATGAACTTACCAAAATGATCTAAGCAGCAATAGAAAGCTTCACCTTCAAAATGCACGCAGGATCTTCATTTCATTGCTTGGGACCTTGAACCAGAAGGTCACAAGATGTGCTGTACATTGAGCAGAAGGACTGGGGCAGTGGGTCTCGCGCTCAGAGACGCTGCCTGCGGAGCCTGGGAGCTTGGGGTGATGTGAAGGTTTGCCAAGTCTCCGCCCTTCTACTTGATGCTCTCTGGCCTGGCTGGTATTGAGAGGGTGCTGGTTAGCGAAATCCAGGCCACCCTCTGCACATCATCAGATAGACAGATAGATATGCGGCTACTTGCCGCATTGGGCTGCTCTCCAGGTGCCAGGGTCCAACTCCACCGATCCCTTCATGCTTCAATTGTTGCGCGGCCTCGACAGCGGTTTCAGACTGAAGTTTGACTTAGAGGCACTTAAGCCTTCGCAAGCTTGCTGAGTGTCGACGCGATTGCACGCAGGATCCAGGTGACCCGCCTGCAACTCCGTCAACAAAGTGGATTTGTCATGCAAGGCAGGACTCTCGAATCCATACGGGAGTCGAGCCAATCTTTTGACCTGCTTCAGGTTGTACAATGATGGCAGGCCAGTGGGCATCACTATGCATCACTGCTTCAAACAACCGCTGTCGTCTGCAATTCGTCATTTTTTGCACCATGAAGGTTTTTGCGGGCCACCAATTCTATTTAAGACCCGGGAAGTGGCATTCATGATTTTCTGCAGGCAGTGTGACTGCAGATGCGGCATGCCGGATCCAGATTGCTTCTTTGTTGCGCTTAAGAGTGGCACAGCCTGGGATTCATCCAAGAGATCCTGAAATGCAATCACTGTTGTTAGGAATGCAGCCAATGAACTCCAGGTTTCTACCCAAACCTTCAAGTGAAAAACTGTGGACGCGGTGAGGCAGGATGTTGCTCTACGTTGCTCCACGGGTCTTGCAAACCGTGATGCGCGGTAACAAGATCTTGCGGCAGGTGTGCTCGAGGATGGGGCGATGCACCACGCCTGAGGTGTGGCCTATTCTTGTGTGCCACGTTCGGACAAGTTAACGCTGTAGTGTTTCTTCGTTGAGGCTTCTGCTGGTCTGGCAGACGCAACGCAGGTTTATGTTTCCGAACCGCATCTGGCTGAGATGCAAAGGTTTCAAATTATGTGTCCAACCAGTGTTCACACATGCTTCAGGTGCACCCAGCTGTTCCTTCCTGGCAGCACTGACCTTGCCCTTGCCTCGTTTGTGCATGAACTCCTGTTTGAACAGTCGGGTGGGAACAGCTTTCTTTCCTTATTGCACCTTCCATATTGAGAGCATCGTTCCCATCACATTGGTGTGTTTGTTTTGCTTTTTGGGGCCGGGGCATTTTTTCCTGGATTCCCTGCTGGGCTGTGGAGCCAAAACGAAAAAAGTATGCCCTGGCAACTCCAGCAAAAAACAACACGCCCCCGCCCGAGCAACAACAAGGGCTCAAAAAGAACAGCAACACCTACGTGTATCGGGTTTGTAACATGTTGTAACATCATGCGTGGCAGCATGGAAGTGATCCTCAGCCAGATTGCATTTAGATGCTGCAGGCTGGTTTCATGGGCACGGAGGAGGAGTATCGAAACGCGACTTGCTCAAAAGCTTCTGCTTCTTTATGAAAGTGTTGGAAATCTCACTGCGTTTCGCATAGTGAAGACTTTTGGTTCAGAGATGCTCACAGGTTATGTTTCTCATGGCATGCATCAGCCCGCCTGACAGTGACCGACTCATGGGGCTACTGCTAAACCTCTGGATGTACAGTGGCTGCTTGGATCAGAGCTACGCAGCTACTCAGTGGTTGCCGGCTGTATGCAGTGCTGCTTGTGTAATAGCATTGCCAGTATTGCCTGTGTATTCAGACTAACAGCTCTGCAAGTCCAAGCTGACAAGTGGACCAATTCTTTTTATCGAGCTTGGGCAGTGTAGTTCTTTCAGTTCTTTCAGACAGATGAACTCGATGATTTCGTCATCACATCAGTCACTGACCGAGTACAAGAGATCCTGCATCATTTGAGGTGAGTGGAGGTGGATGTCCCACCTGCCCCTTCGAGCCTGGTGATTTGTGCGCATACTGGATTGACATCTTTCCTTGAGGACAGGCAAATTTACATGCTAGAATGGTCAGGTACGGAGGTGCGGCCTCCTTGAGCGAAAAGTGCGATGACAGCGGGCAATGCTTCCAGGACGACACCTGGGCAAACGGCTTTGAGCAGCCTGAGATTCATCCTTGGACTGAGGAGTACATGTGCCGATACAAGGTGCTCTGATTGATGAGGCCAGTACGCAGCTTTGCATGTGAAGACTTCATACAAGAGGCTGAGGGCTTCGTGGATGCCCGCCTGGTCAAGAAGTTTGACGAGTACCTTGAAGGAAGCGGTGCGATGTCATTCTGGACATTCCAGCAACTCTTGTCGCAGGAGCAGGTGAGAAGTTCGACAGTCGGGCGCTTGAAGCAGCGCATGTCGAACCTCGCTCTTAATCCGTCTGCATGTGCGGCAAAGGAGCCCGGCGAGGTTTTTACACCCTTCAGGCGTGCTGCGGTATGTTGATCCTTTGCCAAGCGAGCCTTCATGGTGGTTGTCTGCAAGAATCGAAGCCACAATTTCTTGAGGAGCAGTTGGCTGCGATGCCCTTGTGCAGGCTGGCACCACAAACGCAAGCAATGCCTACCGACTTGTGGTTGTAAAGCTGGGCAGCAGGACCGTGATAAGTTGGGACGATGAATTAAGGGCAGAGCATACTGTTCAGTGTTTTCAGGAGCCCCTTTCCATACGGCAGCGACATTGATGCCTATAAGCTCGATATCAACCAGGTCGAGCGCTTGAAGCAGCGCATGTCGCATCGCGCTCTTAATCCGTCTGTATGTGCGGCAAAGGATTGCGGTGGCATTGCGTGTGGCAATAAGGAGATCATTGAGGTCATTGGGCTTGCTTGTGAGCCTGGACATTGAGACGTTAGATGCAATGGCTGCTGCTAGGTGGTGCGGGCTGGTGCACCGGATCGCAGTAACAGACAGGCAGCGGGATCAAAGCAGAGACCGGATTGATGCAAAGATTCTCAGAATGCTGTCCGTAGGTCCTCATGGTGAAAGCACTGGCTCCGAGTGGGTCTCTTCCTTAGGCCGGTTTCATGCATCAGTTGTGTCAGACGACGATTCAGGTTTCAGAAGCAACACTTCTCCTATGGAGGGGTGATCTCAGCCTTGTCAGAGGCAGCTTAATGCTTCATCTTCTTTCATGATGTCTTCTTTCATTATGTTGAGGCTTTGAACTTGCGAACAAGCCTCATTGTAAATCTCTTCTTGTTCTGCTCCTCCGCAGAGCTCCACAGACGTGATTGTGGAACTGAGCAAGGCCTCCATTATTTCCTTGCGTTCTATCAGCTCCCATGTTCTCCCTGCTCAGGAAAAGTATCATTTTCCAATCAGTGGACCTTTCCAAGCGCAATTGGATGCAGAGCCCCTGGCAAGATTTCGTGCTACAATACAGATTCAGTTTCTGTTTTTTTTTTCTCTTTTCGCTGGTTCAGCGAGATGTATAACAAAGCCCCAAAATCGCCTGGCTGCGCCAGATCGGGATACAATTTCAACAGTCATCTGCTACACAGGCCAAGAAGGTGCGCTTTGAAGCGTCTAGTGAGTTCGATGTGAATGCTTGGCCTCATAAGATACAGCGCCTTCAGCTGGAAACTCCTCTTGAGTTGACAGCTGGTTTTCACACAAGCCGGGATCCAAGACATGACTTTGGCATACTTTGGCGAGATTTGGCGAGTATGCTGAGTGAGCTGCATGAGCTGCAGCCGTCCAAGGCATCATTCAGGACATGCTCCAAGGTGCATCTGCTCAGAAACAGACCGCTGGATACCACTGGTTCAAGGTGCGGATTTGCCTGAGGTGCGAATACAGATGCAAGTCTTCATCCAAAAGCCGCCTTCGACAGTGCTGTGACCGTTGAGTCTCATCCTTGGTACGTCTGATGCTCAGATTCTGCTTTTTGCCTGCCGTGCGCACGCACTTGCACAACCGTTTACACTGTTGATCCAAACATCAACCTAAACTAACTTAGGAAAACTCACAGACCAGCGTGGCATTGCAAACCTAACAGTTCGAAATTGGCCAAGGGGGCAACAGTCCTTTCAACTCAGCTGGACATGTACAGCCCGAAGCTCGGGAAGAACGCACAAAGAAGAACGGCATCCAATGCCTCGCTTCATTTTGAGAAGCTTCATGGTTGCATTTGTCTGGTAGGCTGGGAGTGGCCAACGTGCTGCCGGCAGCTTCACTTTTGCTAGAGACTATTTTGACTTGCTGCAGTTCAGCTCCAGCTGGTGGCTGCTGATTTTTGCCAGGGTGGACACCATGGGCTTGGGAGCAATTCAGTCAAGCTCCTCTTTGTCCTTTGTATTCAACACGTCAGAGTTTCTTGGCTGCCTTGGGTTAGACATTGCGCAAGTTGCCTGCAGTGCCACCTGAGTCATCCTTCTGTTTCACATTCGCAAGTAGGTTTATCGATGAAGACAGGGGCAACGGATGCTCTGAGGCAGGCTGTTCTCCTTTCAGCTGCAGGCATCGAATCGTCCTCTCCTTCTCTGCAGGCCTATTTGGAGAACACATCCACCATGAAGTGGGTGAAGGTCCAATTCTGCTGCCAGAGCTTGTTAACCAATCGCATGAGCCCTTGATTCTTCAAACTTGCGTCCTGTTTGCGTGGCAGCTACAGCAGAACGGTGCGGGCATGGATTGCGTCTTGCCAGGTAGATGCCGATTATGACGGTGTTGCGGACACCTGGCAGGGACTTTTCGGCTCAGATGTGCCTTTGATGTATCGAAACAAACTTTGTATCTGTGCTTTTAGCAGAGCCTTTCTTTACAGTCTGAGGTCACTCCTGAGATGCTTTGTGACGGCATCCATGATGGTCATGCAGTTGTGACGGATCAAGGCATCACTGAGGCTTAGCTGCTCTTGCTGTGTCCAACCAGGGACAAACTGATGCCTGGATCTTGCAGGCGCTAGTTTCTGCAAAAGAGCAGAACATGTCTCTGATGCTTCTTGTACGCGACATCACTGCCCTTGCCTCAGCCAAATCACGTAGTGTTATGCAGCTATGCAACCTCTAACTCATGCTGTGAACAGGGTTTCTGCGGCCTGTCAGGGCGCGCAGGTTGGGAACTTCGAGATTCGTGAGGTGCCTTGATCTGCAGGTGTCTGCAGGTGTATAGATGCAGGTTTCATGAACTTCTCTCCGAGTCTTTGACAGGTTGTGAACGCGTGGAAATACAGATCCCCAGTTTGGTGGCCCGACGCTTTTGCCTCAGCTATACTGAGTACTGGTGGCTGGTGGCTGCAGTCCTGTGAAGCCTGCCGTTTGCTAGCTTGCTGGTTATTAGTTATTAACATGCATGTAGTTTTGCTGCAGAATCCGGATCAGGATCCTGATGCTTGCTGGCAAGTGGATGATTCTATGGTTGCCACGGACGGGTAATCAGTCCTTGCACTGCTTCTGCCCATTAAGAGATGCGCTCCTGCTACGGGGGAGTTGCTTACAATGGGCATGATGCCCCGCAGGATTATTGTTCCTGCAAAGACGACTGCCGATGTATGCCCGGGCGGCGGCCTTGAATGCCTCAGATGACTTTAAAGGTTTGCGTTTGTTGACCATGCTGGCTTGCTAGCCTTTGATGCATCACTTGTCACGTGGTATGCTGTCAAAGTGATGGTCCCTGTTGCATCCCCAATATTAGGGTGCTGCGCCCAGAAGCGAGCAACGCAAAAGCTGACCGAATATCCTTTCCCCCTTAAAATGGAGGAAGGGGGCCGGGTGCGCCCTCCTTGGATCCCCATCCCACTCCCAGGCCGCCTCCTGCCTCCCAGGGCCCTAGCGCCCCTCCGATGTATGAAACGGATCCCCAATGATGCTGATGATGCATGTCAAGGGGGCCAGCATCATCAGCAACATTGGGGGCTCGTTTCTCCAATCTGAGGTCTTCCTTCTGGTACCCCCCTGACCTGCGAAAAAATGATGCTCGGGCCCAGATGGCTTCGGAGGCTAGTTTTCAAAAACGTCCGTGCTCATGATGCTTTTTTCCCCAACAGCTTTAGCTTTGGGGTCTTCTGCCCAAATAAGTTTCCGAGCGAATCGGAGCGGCCCCCAAAAAAGCTTCCGGAGCGTGGCCCCGGCGCCGGCTGGCTAGTTTACTTGATCAGAAACCAAATTTAGTCGGAGTGACTGAGTAACATTCGTTCCACCAGCGAA